TTGTTTCGGCACGGAAAATTATTGGAGTCCCGACAATTGATTGGATACAAATTATGCCATCAATTCATTTGTCACCCAAATCACTACTTTTACTAATTAAGGGTTTTTATTGAATATCATCCGTTTGAGGGAGTTTGATTATGAACTTGGCTAAATTATATATTTAGAGCGTAAATTTATGTTCATATGTGTGATGAAATCTGAAAATTATGTAGTTCTTTCTCTTATTGAATTTACCTTTAGCTACTAAAATTCTTTGAACCACCCTTTAAAAGGAGAACCTCATTCCCATTGATGTAATTCTCAGCCTTTGCCAGCACCTCAGCCATGGTAGCATGAAGTGTTTTGGAAATTGAGAATAGGAGGTCCTTAGATTGGAGCCCTAGACTAGCCTTGAAGGTTGTCAAGGCAACCTTCTCATTCGGCCCATCTATTCTAAGAAATTCTTAGTTAAACCTCTTCACATAGCTCTCAAGGACTTATCAGGTTCTTGTTTAAAAGTTAACAGGTGTTGGGTGGGCTTCATGTACGTCCTCGTCCCAATGAAATGTGAGATGAACTACACCGAAAGTTCTCTGAAGGACGAAATTGAAGCCAATGCCAATATATTGAACCAGACAAGAGCTGAGTCCTTTAGTGTGACTGTGAATGCTCAACAATAAATAGGGTCTTGGTACCCATGGAGCTCTATCTAGTTTTTGTATGAATTGAGATGGTTCATGGGATCCTTGGTACCGTCAAATGCGTCAATTTAGGGCATTTTGAATTTAGGTGAAACAGGATAATACAAGACCTCCATTGTGAAGGGTGACTTAGTTTGTTGAACCAAAGCCTCCATAGTGACTATAACTCGATTTTTCACGACCTCCTTCACTTTTTCTAACTCGTAATGGATTTCTCCAAAACGTTCTTCCCATAATTGATCCATGGTGTTTCTATTATAGGCACCTCTCCCTCGCAACTCTATGCCACATCTCTAGTATTTTCCTTCTGCGGTTGACGATTGACGTTTCCTNAGGGCATTTTGAATTTAGGTGAAACAGGATAATACAAGACCTCCATTGTGAAGGGTGACTTAGTTTGCTGAACCAAGCCTCCATAGTGACTATAACTCGATTTTTCACGACCTCCTTCACTTTTTCTAACTCGTAATGGATTTCTCCAAAATGTTCTTCCCATAATTGATCCATGGTGTTTCTATTATAGGCACCTCTCCCTCACAACTCTATGCCACATCTCTAGTATTTTCCTTCTGCGGTTGACGATTGACGTTTCCTTAGATTGGCTACGACGATCCTCTATATTTTGGTTTACAAAATATAGCCTTGAGGAGACAACCTTGGAATTTCATTCCAAGTTACTACCCGTTAATTTCTCTTACACTTGGGGGCTTCGTGAAAATATACCCACTTTTGAGGGCAAGTAACTATCTGAGTCAATGGTCGAAACCACAACTTAAACCATGACAACA